TGTATGGCCTACAAATAATTGTTCCAGGTCTGTATGTTTGTCCTTGTGCAATTTATGTTTGTAAACTGCCTCCACGACACAGGAGAAAATCCAAGTGTGGGGGTAACGTTTTTAAAAAAAAATTATTACTTTAAAAAGCTCTTACTTAAACAACTTTTGAAATGAGCGAGGCTATTTAACGTCTCTGGAAGAGATAGCATACAACTTGATCAAGTTTCATGTCGGACAATAGAAACAATTGTGTGCAAAGTTATCTGGTTAGAATACTTAACTAACTATAGTTATGAGCCAAACTAAGTACTAAGTACGTATAGGAGCTACATATTACTAAGAAATTCTTTAATTATGAAGTAATTTAGAGCATTATAGAAAGCAGTTACGTAGATAAGTTAAAGTTAAAGTTACAGCATATGTACGTCCTACTTGTGAACAAAATACTCCTTTTATATAGTGAAGGTTCTAGCAAAGAAATTCTGCTCCGCTGCCTCAATGAGTGTTTGTGGAATGAAATGAAATGGAATGAAAACTCTTTATTTTCGAGGTAAGAAATTAAAATTTTCTTTTGTCGAACGTTAATATTTTTTGTAATGTACTACTGTTTCATATTATTGTTTGTCGTTAGTTATATTTTTTATAGAATTAGAGTAATATACGAGTAAACAGTCCACCTGATGATAAATGGAAGCTTTGGTCCATAGACATCTGTCCTCCATTAAGAATTAAAATGCAGATGTGTTGTCACCCCTGAGGACTAAGCTAAGATGGAATGCCTCGTTTTCAGTAAAAAGTGTATCTGGATCTCTATACTCACCTTATGAAACAGCTGCATAAATCTGCTATTTTAAGCTATTATTGAAGGAGAGCGTGGCCTTTTCCAGATCGAGTTGACCCATTTGTGCTACAACCATAAGGAGCAGCATGACTCTACTACGCAAGTATCAAAAAATGTCCTTTTTTAACTGATTTCAAAAATGAGAAGGGGCTTAATTCAACGGTATGTTTTTTATGTGTGTTATATCATAACTTTTTTCTAGATGAACCGATTTCAATGATCAATCAAACGTCTGAATAGTAGTTTTTAAGTTATCTTTAATAATTTATATTGAAGTCGGTTGTATAAAAATTTTTAATTTTACCACTTGTTGCAAGACATTCGAAAATATCGTTTTAGCAAGGTGATTTTGTGAGTAGGAGAGACAAATTATTATTTTTTTAAATTATATTTTTTTATTTTGGATATTTGCATCCATGGAATTGTTCGTAAAACGATTATAATCTATGTCTGTATTTCATTCGTTTAAACAAAAAAAAAAAATAACAATAAAGCTGATTCCAATGACAATCCAACCATCGGATCATTCTACGCACAACACTCTCCCAGATATGAGCTCACCGCAACAGTTATCAGGACGGTGTTGGGGACAAAAGACCACTCAAATAGTTGCTAACTTTATCATTTTTTGATATCATAATATTTAAATTTGATCATAAATTAATAAGCGATCACGTGGGCAACTATTTCAAACCAACCATAACACAGTAACAACTCACACCGCTTGGTCGGATTACGTAGATAGGAATAACAGTCGGCATTAAACTTTAGCAATTAATAAGTCGCCAAGCGCCGGTAAACTTTGATAAGCCCGTTCTGCTCGGAATGTATTTCTAGATTTATAATAAACTATACTCGTTATTTCAAAGTAAATATTTTACATAGCATGTATAATAAAATCTGTATTTATAGTTATCCATCTACCGTTTACGCCAGACGTTAAATACGTCTGCTTTATATTGCAATGGCCAATCCACTTCCCAAGATGACGAAGAACGAAAAAGAGAAAAGAGGAAGATAGTTATTTTAACTGTTAAGTACAAAGCCAATACGATAATACGGCTGTGTTTTCAGTCTGAGAACTGGAGGCCCTTTTACCAATCTGAGTCCCGTCTTTTGATTCTCAGCCGAGGGTGGATATAGATGCTTATGCTACACAGCACTTTTTGGAACGTAGTTCCTTATCAGACGGTACGGGTTTGGCGGATGGGATCTAGGCGACAAAAAGTGTAAGATTTTTTCGTCACTACCCCTTGAGTCATAGTGTTTTTTTTTATAGGAGAGGGGGCAAACGAGCATGCGGCTCACCTGATGTTAAATGACTACCGCCGCCCATGAACAACTGCAACACAAGGGAGGGAATTGCAGATGCGTTGCCGGCCTTTTAATAAGGAGTACGCTCTTTTCTTGAAGGTCCCTAAGTCGTATCGGTCCGGAAAAATCGCTGATGGTAATCGATTCCACAAGGAAGTCGTGCGAGGAAGAAAACATCTTCTAAATCGCACAGTGGTGGACTGCCAATCATCCAGATGGTGTGGATGGAATCGGGAGTTCTGCCGCGATGTGCGTTCGTGAAATTTGGCGGCTGGGATTAATCCGAACAATTCCTCAGAGCACTCCCCATGGTAGATGCGAAAGAAAATGCAAAGGGATGCAACATCTCTTCGCAGTGCCAATGAATCAAGCCAATCGGAAAGGGCTCGGTCGTCGACGATTCGAGCCGCTCTGCGCTGGATGCGGTCAAGTGGAAGGAGCTGGCACTGGGGAGCCCCTGCCCAGAGATGGGAACAGTATTCCATGTGAGGCCGAACCTGCGCCTTGTAAAGTTGCAGGCGGTGTGCCGGCATGAAATACTGTCCCGATCTGCTGAGCACGCCAAGCTTTTTAGAGGCCAATTTGGCCTTCTCTTCCAAGTGACCACGAAAATACGCGTGTATTTTATTTTAAATGACGCTTGCTTTTAATAGACCTTTTGTAAATATAAAAAATGACTTTCAATAAGACTTATGTGATAATCAATATTGAAAAAAAATTATTCTATTCTATTTGTTAATCAATAATATAATACATTTATCAATAATAAGGAACTTCGTTCCAACCGAGTGTTCCACGACACTCACGCATGTTTTTTTTACTTTTAAAATCCAGTGCTTAACAAAACCCTATTCACTCTTGCCTTGAAGACACACATCAATTCCTACCAGTTGCAGTTACCATCAGGTGTTTTTTTATTACAAATTTTTTTAATAATTCTTATTAAATGACATAGTCCAAATTAGAATCGGCTAGGAAGCGTTCAGGAGATTACGACACATCTGCTCGTCAGGTATACCTCAAAACTTAAAAACGAGATTGTACAACCCGTGCGTGTTGATAGTGATGACTTATAGATCGGCAACGTGGTCTTTCACAGCTGGCCGTATGAGAAAGCTCAAGGTCGCTCAGCGAGCCATGAAGAGAATGAGGATATCCGCTGTAGAAACAGAGTAACCAACGGATAATAAGCTTAAGTGGTAATGGGCCATCCATATAGCTCGAAGAACCGACAACCGATAAAGAAGAAAGGTTCTCGAGTGGCAGCCTCGTACCGGTAGGCGAAGTGAAGGGCCACGCCCCACTAGATGGAGTGACAACCTGGTAAGATATGCAGGGAGCCGATGGATGCAGGTGGCTTAGGACCGTGTTTTGTGGCTTCCTTGGGGGAGGCCTATGTTCAGCAGTGGACTTGTGAAGGTACCTGTAATGATAATTATAATGACATATTTATGATTCATTCACCGCTTGTTTAGAAAAAGTAAAAGGCTTGTGGTAAAATTAGCAAGAAAGAAACCGTTAACAATTAGCGACACTGAAAATTTCGGGAATCAAGGAAGTGACACAACATTACTATTTAAAAAGGTATTTATTGCTTTTCGAAGTATTCTCCGCTAAATTTGACACATTTTTCCATACGATGGAACCAATCATTGAAGCAACCATTCCATTCCGAAGTTGGGGTCTCCAAAATGGCCGTTTTGTAGGCGTCCACAGCTTCTTCAGGTGATGAAAATCTCTGTCCACGCAATTTATTCTTTATTTTAGGGAAAGCAGAGAAATCATTAGGGCTTAGGTCGGGGCTGTATGGCGGATGGTCTAATAATTCTATGTTTTCTTGCTCTAAAAACTCTTTTGTTCTGTGTGCGGTGTGAGAACTCGCATTGTCGTGATGGAGGATAATGCGGCGGTTGCAGTTCTCTTTACGGAGTTCAGAAACGACCTGTGGCAAACAAATGCTAGCATACTATTCTGCATTAACCGTTCTTTGTCCCTCAAGAGGAATAGTCGTAACATGGCCGGTTTTGGAGACAAAAGTAGCCACAATTTTTTTTTCAACACTCCGTGAACGAACAATTTTTGTTGGCTTTAACTCATTTTCGAACACCCGAACTCGTGACTGGTTTTTTGTTTCGGGTTAGTACCCGTATATCCAGGATTCGTCACCTGATACGATGTTGTATACAGCATTTGAGGAATCTTGCGTGGAATCTTTCGAGAGTTCTGACGCACCAAGTAACGCGAGCCGCTTTTTGCTCTTCACAGAGCGAATACGATATCCATCTGGTAAAAAAACTTTTTTACACTTAATTGTTCATGCAAGATTATTTGTATGCCTCATTATACTTAATGTCTGCTATCTTCTCTAATCACTGTAGTGTAACACAGGCTCGGCACGCACTTTAACTAAACACGTCCACTCTCGCCCGAGGCTCTCGTGTAACTGACGTGGTGCGCTCGAGACAGTGACTTATATATAAATGTATGTTTGTGTATTTGTGCATGGTAAATTATCAGTAAATAAAACAAATAACAATATTTCCTATATACTACATACATGCAAACACTACATCTCTTTCTTATCAAGATTTTTTTTATTTTTTTCATTATAACTCATAACAATCACAAAGCAGCTTGTATTGTCTGTATTAATTATTTTCCACTGCTTTTACGTAAACCTTATCTCCCTGTATTATATCTGAGTGAGTTGCTCTGCGTTTCCTATATACATACTCTTTTCCTTTTTCTTTTTGTATTTTGTCTCTATCCCTGATATCTGAATCTAAATGATTGTCTGTAATTTATTTCACCTATTGATGGAATTTTATCCCTACTTTTTTGTTGAAAAAACAGTTCAGACGGTAACCTTCCGGTAACTGTAAGGAAGGGTGCTGTTATACATTAGAAGATACTCCCACAAAAATTCTTTTAAATCCTTCCTCTCAATCTGGCTGATATGAAGACGTTTCAAAATATCTCTGTTTTGTCTTTCAACTTCGCCGATCATTTGAGGCCAATATGGTACAGTACTAAATAACTTAATGTTACATTCTTTGCAGAAAGATCGAAACTCTTCACTAACAAACTGCTTGCCATTGTCTGCGGTGATAGAAATAGGATAACCAAGTCTACTGAACATTTCTTTTACTATTTTTATAATCTGTAAGTTTGTGATGTTTTTGTAATTGTTTACTTCTTTGTATCAACTATAGTAGTCGACTACTACTAACAGATACTCGTTACTTTGCAATGGTCATCTATCCATGGAGCTGCAGGCAACTCTCGTCTCTTCATTGGTGTAGTTAGGTTTGGCAAACCCACTAACGTACAACCTTTACAGGCCTATACTAATTGTTCTAAGTCTTTATCGATACGGGGCCACCATACCTTTGATCTCAAGCGTCCCTTCATCGCTACGATACCTGGATGACCTTCGTATGCAGCATCTAAGACACTCTTGCAGAGTTGCTGTGGTATTACAATTTTATTTCCACGAAGTAGAATGCTACCATGGAAACACAACTCGTTTTCAAAAAATTTATAACTCTTAATCAAATCGTCCCAGTCGTTCTTATAGACACCTTTTTTCACTTTGTAAATCTCTTGGTCTTTTTCTGAATATGCTACAATGGAACTCATTGGTATAGCAACTGGTATAGAATTTTCCACTATTGGGTACACATGCTGGTCTTTTCCTTTTGGTGGGGTATCAGAATAGTTACATAATCGTGACAAGGGGTCAGCTATATTTGTTTTTCCTGGCTTGTATATGACCTGGAATGAATAAGACTGTAGCTTCAGTACCCATCGTTCAATCCTCGCACATGGTTTTGACCTAGACCCGAACAATATCTCTAGCGGCTTGTGGTCAGTGACTAAATCAAAAGGCTTTCCAAATAAAAATATTAAAATGTTCGACCCCGCCAAACTAATGCTAGTGCCTCTTTTTCCGTTTAGTTTTAACTGCGCTCGCAGTCTGTCAAAGTTCGATTACCATAGGCAATAATTCTAGGGCCATTTGTATTATTTTGTACAAGGACAGTACCAAGTCCGACAGGGCTAGCATCTGCTATCACCTGTCTTGCATCTCTGACGTCATAATACCCTAAAATCTGTATTTCCGTGAGCATCTGTTTGAGTTTTTTGAATGCTTTATCTTGTTCCCCAGACCATTGTTTTTCCAAGCTCTCCCTTTTGCTCATCTTCTGTCTTAACAGGTGCTTCAGAAGTTCTGTCATGGCGGCCAAGTTAGGTATCCATTTGTTTATGTAGTTTAAGAGTCCTAAAAACTTTGGAGTTCTTCTATGGTCTTTGGGACCCTAAATTTAATAATGCTCTCAACGAACTTGTTAAAAGGTTTACTCTTTCATGTGTAAGCCTGTGTCCCAGAAAATTCACATCCTGCGTTTTATATCTGCATTTATTGCTATTCAGCACGGCGTTGTTTTTACTAAGTATACAGGTACTGTGTAGAAAGTACAGAGAACTTTCTTTAGTCATGCGTCATGTTCTTCTTCACTGTTCCCGAATACCAGGATATCATCAATAAAATTGACAACCCCTTCACATTTTATCAGCATCCTTTCAATGATCTTCTGAAAAATCTCGGAAGCGCAGGTAATTCCAAGCATTATTCTTTTATATCTATATTCTTTTATATCTTCTGGGGGTTATAAAAGTCGTTATGTGTCTGGATTCAGAGTGAATTTCCACTTGATGGAAGGCATTTTTTTATGTCTCATTTGTTAAAATATTTAGCTTTCTTCATTTTAGGCAAAAATGTTCCATAGTAGGCAGGGGGTGGTTTTCTCGCAATATAGCAGCGTTCGTACATCTCATATCTACGCGCAAACGTAATTCACCATTTACTTTCATGATTGGGACATTAGTAAAACCAATTTAGACAGGCCTTGCACTTCTTCAATTATATCACTGTTTAGTGATTCCTTAATTTTGATTGCAACCTTCTCTTTAATGGGGATCGGTACTCTCCACTTGATTTATCCCGATGCCAAGTTTTAAGACACTCAAACGGACTGCTGTGTTCTTACCCAACAGGTATCTAGTACCCCCCGAAATCACATAAATGGTTGTATGTTCCTTTCGTCCATCGACTTCGAGTATAGTTTCAAATGAACCCTCTATTGCCAAAGGAGAGTTACTACCATATGCTAATAATGTCTTGTCTGGTCTTTACATTTGATTAAAAGCATATACTTTTTTGCTTTTTAACTCTTCCCACGTTTTGTAAGATATAAGGTTCTTGCGCAATTTCGAATTACACTTTTCCGCAATTTGATCTATGAAATGATCATCTTGCTTTTCGAATGCACACTTTTCGGCCTGTTGACGCAATCTTATCAAAAACTTCTCAAATTTTTCTCCTTTTTCAACTTAACTTCAGCTGCATCCTGATAGATTAGTAGAGACCCTTTCCATTTTTCACACCTTATAGCCAGAGATGTGCTATCACATTAAAGCTGATAACGGTATCATTATTATTATTATTTTAGGGGCAAACTGAAACAGTTTCTTATATATTTTTTTTCCAATTTAATGCTGTTATTTTAATACCCAAAGTCCAATTTAATGGTAGTAACTTAGTACCCAAAGTCCAATTTAATGGTAGTAACTTTGGGTACCCAAAGTCCAATTTAATGGTAGTAACTTAGTACCCAAAGTCCAATTTAATGGTAGTAACTTAGTACCCAAAGTACAATTTAATGGTGGTACCTTAGTACCCAAACTCCAATTTAATGGTGGTATCTTAGTACCCTAACTCCAATTTAATGGTGGTATCTTAGTACCCAAGCTCAATTTAATGATGGTATTTTAGTACCCAACTCAATTTAATGATGGTATCTTTGTACCCAAACTCAATTTAATGATGGTATCTTAGTACCCAACACCAATTTAATGGTTGATATCTTGGTACCCAAACTCAATTTCATGATAATAATATGTTCCATAACACTCGCCCTTCTCTTTCGGTTTATTTGTTATACCGACTACTTCCATTGCTATGCCATTTAGGCTTTGGGTAAATTCAATACCTATATTGCGCATTTGCCATTATTGATAACTTGGACAGCAATATCCTCGAGAAACGCCGTGATATAAGAGATCAAATGTTGTTGTACAAATTGCTTCATAATATCATCGACTCTCCCCTACTTTTTTAGGCAAAATGAATCTTGCGTGTCACAGGTTAGGTGCACGAAATAAACCTCTTTTTGCATAACCTAAAGTTAAAACAAGGTATGCCTCAAATAATTTTGTATCTCGTACATACAAAAAGTTTAACTTAAAATATTGTAAATTAGATATATTTCACCTTGAATATGATAGTTACAAAGAAAATAATGTAAAACTTAATATATAATTGGTAGTATCACTTTGAGTTGTATATATAATGTTACTTTTAACTACTTACTACTTAATGTTTTAATTTATGAATACCATTTAGCTTGTTATGTTCTTTTATATTTTTAATTTTATACAACATAATATTGTGGTGGCAAGCTTTTATTATGTATTAAATATCTGTGGAAACTTCATTGGTTTTTAGGATTACTTTTAATGTTTTATTATGTAATTTATTATTGTACTGTATGTTTCCCTTGAAAAGCCAATAAATAAATAAATAAACAGTATTACTAGTTACCTACTTTGCAATGTATAGAAGTCGTGAAGTGTCCACGATTTTTTGTAAGACATATATGCCATGAAAGCAGTAAAATAGTATTTTCATTAAAGGTGATAAATACCACACCTACATGTAAAATGCCACTAAAATTTAGCTAACGACATTGTATTTCGGTTTGAATCGAGAGGAGTGATTAGTAACATCTACTATTTTTCCATCAAAAATCTTTTTAAATAAAAGTTGTGCTAATAGACATATGTTAAAATAAATCATTATTTTGTCATTGCTACATAAAGAAAATAAATTCTTGCACACCATAACCGTGGTCATATGCGAACATATAATTTATATAAATTATTAAAATGATCAGAACAGGGTTAAAAACAATAACTCATAATTCATAATCCACAGTTTTTTTTTCCGCGGGTACTCTAGGAATTAATTTACAATTGCATTGCTAATAGTTGCACATTGCTAATCTATTTTTGATTATATCTTTATACTAAATAGGTACTTATCTTTTTCCTAGTCGCCATTTGTAATGTCTGCTATCTTCTCTAATCACTGTAGTGTAATACAGGCTCGGCACGCACTTTAACTAAACACGTCCACTCTCGCCCGAGGCTCTCGTGTAACTGACGTGGTGCGCTTGAGACAGTGACTTATATATAAATGTATGTTTGTGTATTTGTGCATGGTAAATTATCAGTAAATAAAACAAATAACAATATTTACTGTATACTACATATATGCAAACACTACAATACTCATGCCAATGTCTAAAGTTGCCTGAATTTCATGGTGTGTCACATGTCGATCTTCCTCAATCAGCTTACGCACAGCATCAACGTTTTCTTGGGTGACGGCAGTTTTTGGACGACCTTGACGGGGATCATCACTGAGCTTGACACGTCCACGTTGAAATTCAGCAAACCAGCGATAAATTGTGGTTTTGGATGGGGCTTCATCACCAAATGCAGAAATCATCCGGTCAACACACTGTTTTTGTGTTAAACCACTTCGAAAGTCATAATATATCATCGCTCTTGAATTTTCTCGAGTCAATTCCATTTTCTCAACGACTAACAAACTTCTACAAAACTACAAACAAACTAACAAGTTTGAAAAAACCTTGTGACAAGACCGAGAATCTTTTTTTTAAATAAATAAATGGTATTTAATTTTAAAAAACCAAGGACTTTTCAATTAAAAAGATTTTAATATGACAGGAACAGTGGAAATATTCCATTCCCGATACTTTTAGTGCAGCCTATGTATTACATAATTGTTAACGGTTTCTTTCTTGCTAATTTTACCACAAGCCTTTTACTTTTTCTAAACAAGCGGTGAATGAATCATAAATATGTCATTATAATTATTATTTATGCTATAATATATTATCAATTATTATCCACATCGTGTTATTAATGACATGTTAATGATCACTTTATTCATCATCACAAGAGCAAAACTGATGATACATCAAATTTGATTGGACTTTTATGTTCTTTTAATCCAAATAAATAGTCACGAGGTGTCCGTGAGATATATTTTAATATCTGATTAATCTTGTTTATTTTTATAAAACTGATGTCATCGATCCAGTAGACCCTATAAAAGTCCACTGCTGAATATAGGTCTACCCCATATATTGTCTCTTCTTCTATTTACCAAAGTTGCCACGCTTACCAAGCAGGTTGGTAACTGCAGTTTCTTTTAATAATTTTGAGTTGTTTTTAGGAAGATTCTGCTGCCCATTTGATGACCATCTGACGCCTCTTTCGACACCCACGGGATGATAAAGGGTAGTAGATATTCTTATACCACCACTACACGGGATATAAAACTGATGGGTCAAACAAAAATAACGGCCGCTCGATTATAAGCGGCTACTGCATTTCATTGACTGTTACTACAACGACCAACCTCAAACGAAGAAGGCCACAGATGTGTGACGTAACCACATTTATGTTGCATTAAGTATATTTATGAC